TTTTTTTTGGAATAACAAGTGAAAATAATGCATGCGCCTAATAACAAACAAGAAATTCCAAAATCAACCAACCAGAGCAAATCCGAACATACCTCTATCGATTTTGACTCCAGTGCATTTTCAAGCATTTCGTCAACGTCCAAGCCTGCATCGTCCGTCATAGTTGTTGATTTTCACTGTTACGATAGGAAACTGAAGAAGAGGTTTCTCCTGATGTCCAAGATACGTCAATTCAACGTCAATGGCACAGCGCACAATTCAGACGCGCACACGACGAAAATTGGCGGACAGCACTGTTGTTGACTGAATGCCCCGCCCATTTGCTGAGCTTTTTTTTTATTAAGAAGTAAACTTAGGCCTTTTTAAAGCTCCTCATAGTTATGCATTCTTAAACTTGTTCTACGGTCAGACATAAGCAAAGTCATTCTTTTCATAAAGTCACCCATTTCTCCACAAATAACCATCTTACCATTGTTTTTCTTCCCAAAAAATAAGTCCGAACCTCTGCAACTTTTTGAAAACGGAAAACTCATTAATGCGCTAGCATTCGAGTTACAGTTAGTCCTCTCCGATTTCAAAGTCAAGTAAACTCAAGAAAAGGCATTTTTTAGAGTTTCACAAACTATGCGCAAAAGTGGGTGGAGACTCAGGTTATCAGCAGTTTTCCGCATTTTTTTCGTGCCAGGAATCTTTGTGCGAGCAGATGAATAACCTTTGATAAGAGTGCACGTCTATAACGTTTTTCTCGCTCAGCTGATTGCGTTCTACCCGTGATCAAAATGAAAAAACTGTCTGCTTCATGAAGTGTCCCTCGATTTTTTTTTGCTGTAGAGTAGGTTTACCATTAATTTGACTTTTCCCCGTTTATTGCTGTTTTTCCCCTTTTAAGATTGAAAGGGTGACGGGTAATTTGATTTTGTAAAGTAATCCTTGAATCGATATTGAATTCTTGATATGTATGGTATTATTCGCCATAGATTAATTTAGGTCTTACACAAAACACAGAGTGATGTACAAATTTGGTTGAATGATTGGGGACAGTCACAAAGTGACAAGCATATGTTTGCTAATAACTCTGCTGATGCTGCAGAATTCGCGTTGAGGTATTAGTACATGTCTTTTCCTACACAGCTATAAAATTTAGGACTCTCAACTTCTTTTTTTTCAACAGCAGGCTTTTCGACCAACTTTTCGTAAGACTTGTTTTTTTCCTAGCGAGGACAGTAATCTTTCAGAAAGTCATCAGCTATTTTGAAATGGAGGGAGTTAAATAAAGTAGCTGGAGAAGGCTGGTAGAAGTTACTGATATGCCGAAATCTCTGGAGAAGCAGCGAATGGCTGAGTTAAAAGAAAGTTCAGGTAGCCTTAGCAGTTGTTGCTTTCTTTTTATATTAGGGAAGAGGAGCAGAGCATTTTACTGCTTGTTATGTTTTAAATTTTTTTTGTGTGCCTCTAAAATTAAATATTTAGAATTCTTTTATAATCAGTGGGAGTCAGATCCCAACTTAGCCCTCTTTTGATATTTCTTCTTCTCTTTTTTCTATACAGACCTCCCCCATCAGTCAATAGCTATGCAAATGACGTAATGATCATCTGTTCTGCGGCCGAACAGGCGGTAATGGCCGCGAGAAACAGATGTGCTCGTTGCGATCGTATGCCAGTTAGCGTTTTTCGTCCCCATTGTTGGATACTGCCTCCTTACGCTATTCATAAGGCCAGCATATCTGGATCACTACATTCCACTTTAGAATCTCTTTCTTAGGCACTCTTTGACTTAGTTTTCCATTCATATAAATTCGCTGCACCGATGCTGTAATATGCTTGTCGTCTGGCTTTTTGCCTACTGCATACTGCCCGTCGGCTACTGTAGTCAGTATTCATCGATCAGTGAGAGTGTACATTCTCCGGCTGAGAATCATTCTGATGGAAGCGTCAGATTTCGAAGATTCTTTTCTTCTTACCCACCTACACAGAAGTCTAAACGAGCTGCCACTGCTCGTAAGGAACGCATATGGCCAGATGGTGTCATTCCATATATCGTAGCTGCAAATTTCTCCGGTAAGGGTTTTAGAACTTTCCAACATTTTGTTTTGGAAATCCAATCCTTTTTTTTTGCAAGGA